TGCCCCAAAGCAATTAAAGCCACGAGACGCCACTGAAGGGGGCGTGTTGCGTAAACTTAAGGGAAGACTGTACGCTGACGACACTCCTTGAGGTGGGACAAGGGAACGTAATTAACAGCTATTGGCATCTTGTCACTCAAGCACCGGATAGCAGCTGAGCTATTGGCCAGCTCAATGATGGATTCACCACTAATTGAATGCTGGAAATTATATTCGAAACCATTGGCGAGGGTGAAGCGCGCCCTCATGCTGCAGGAAATGGTAAACGACCCAGATTTGGCATCTGTGAGGAAATTGTTGAATGTGACTGTTCGGACCACCGAAGAGGCCAACTTAGATGTGGAGGATTCGAACAGGGGCATGCTGATTACCCGGAAGCATATTCTCGAACAGGCCGGTCGATGTTGGCCTCGGAGCGTCTACACTGTATATGAGCAGGCCTATAAACATCATGCGGCTGACGATGTTCGTGAAGCGTTTAATGCACTACCTGATGACGTGTGCAGTGCAACAGCAGCAGATCACTGGGCCGAACGCGCCGTGCATGGTGCAACGGGCGCGAGCAAAATGATTAAACAATATGACATCACATCTCAGGTGCCGGAACTTCATGAAAGCGATCGTCCGCTAAAGAAGGTTTTGGTTGAATGTTTGCCAAGCCACGCCTTGGAGGCATTGTTACACTGGGAGCCGCAACAGCGAGCATTTTACTTTGTCAAACCGGAGCCAGGACACAAACAGCGGGCCTTATATGCCACATCTGCTCTTACGCCAACACGGGAGTGGAGAATGTTATGAAGAACAGCCCCGGTGTGTTTGAGCGACAAACGCCTGCTGATGTAATAACGTGGATGGCAATATCAGAAGGTGGGCGTGCTGGTCCGGAAGGGGCTGGTTGCTATTGGGTGTCTACGGACTACTCGAACTACAACAGCGAACACACCATCTGGCAAATGATGCAGCTAGACTTAGCATGTGCTGACTGGTATCGAGAGCGGAAAGGAGGCGCTGAGAAGCATGTGCAGGGCAGGAGAGAAAAAGAGACAGCACATTGCTGGCTGGCTGCTGGAAGAGCGAGGTCTGTGATACATTACCAGCACAGGTTGGACGAGGGAGGCTTCAATCCACGTCCATACTTGCAGGAAGCCGCGATACAGCAGGGACAGATTAAATGTTATTTACGGTCAGCAATGGAATGTTTAGTGGCAGCATGACTACAGCGAGAGACAACACATGGATACATGCAATTCATATGAGAATTGCGAAAGCCACGCTTGCAGAGCTGGGGTGTCGGGATGGAATCCGGTGGACTGCAATTTGTGGGGACGATGAGGACGCCGCGTTTTCACACGTGAGCGTTGCGACAATATATTTAGCCTCCGTGCAAGCAGTGATCACAAGCGCAATCCACTTAAACAGCTGGGGGGTGAGCGGCACCATGAGTTCTTGCAGTTCGTCTATAGTGACACAGCACGGATAGAAAAATCGAGATTTACAGTGCTCGCGACACTGGCTACTGGAAATTGGTATGTGCAGCGTGGAGTGTGGATTCAGTCCGCGATTTCAGCTGTTTGCGCGAACTATTGGGAGCTGTTCTTGCGTGGAGTACCTAAGCAGGTGTGTCGCCGGTTGGCATGTCTGACGCTGGATCAACTTATGGTGATACGTAGCCCGGAACTGGGAGCAGTTCCTACATTCAAGGAATTAGAGTGGTGGGAGTATCGATTTGGCGTTGGTCTGCCGCCGCTGTTTCATTGGGATGGGGAGGATGTGATAGAGCAACCTAAGTTTGAAGCAGTCATCAGACCCAGCGAATCTTGGCCTACTAGGGACGAGATGGCAAGGCATAAAACCCTATTGAACAATTTGCCTAGACGAGTCGCGGCTGAACTGGATGAAATGCCCTTGGCCAGCTCGATCGGTTCTGCTGCCAAGGTAATGCAGCAGCAGTTAGCTAAGAGATGGGCTTGGAAGCACTGGCCAGAACGTAAAAGCAGTGCCATCACATGTGTAGAACAGACTGAGGACTGAGAAAGAGCCCCAAGAGATGCGGTTGACCTGACTGCGGTACGGAATACCACGGAAGAATGAGATGCTTAGGGTAGGTGGGGGTAAAAGTCCGCATGGGGTAAAAATCCTCAATAGTGTAGTTAGAAACTCTCTTATTATTTTCTACCCAGCGATGCATGTCTCGGTCGGTATCTGGCAGAAGTGGCAACAGCGTGAACACGTGATCTGTACATCGTTATACGTGATAATTATGAGGTAAGTTGTGAATTTCTCTGCTTTAATCTAATATTTTTCAATATAGAGGTGAGGATTATGTGTCTTCAAGGCATCTGCTGGAGATTTTTTCAGTAGCTTTAAAAGACTAGTATCATCGACAACACGTTTCCAAAAACTAAACTTAATTTGAGGTTATGTTTTTCACACCAACCTTGATAAATCTGAAGTGTCGTTATGGGGCAAAAGTCCGCATGCCTAATGGGGCAACGATCCGCTAAGATCATTTTCCCGTTCCATGCGGATGTTTGCCCCGTTTTTGTTGATGAAAAAATCAACCGTTTGACCGAAAAGTGTAAACTGTAAATCGCTTTTTTCAGGACCTATATAAGAAAAAAAGAAAACCTAAAGCCACTCACCGAGTATGTGCTGATACAGGCTAAAGAGTTGAGAGAAAAGGGGCTATCATTTAGGGAAATAGGAAGAGCCCTTGGCTACGATGAATCAACTATTCGAAAGAGGATAAAAGCTGGCAGTGGCGTAAATTCATTAGGGCGGTTTCGAAAAGTATTTACTGCAGTGCAAGAACAACAGATGGTGAACCATTGTAAGGCATTGGACTTACGTTTCTACGGACTTACCTTGAAGTCGCTCCGCTTTCTGGCATATCAGTTCGCACACAGAAATGGTATCCCTCACCCATTTAATAATGAAACTAGACTAGCAGGTAGAGATTGGACGAGACAATTCATGAAAAGGAATCGACTTTCATTGCGTACCCCTCGAAAAACTAGCGTAGCTAGAACAATGGGATTCAACCAGCAGCAATTGTCTCAGTATTTCGAAAATTTGAAATATGTCCTTGAGAAGTACAAATTTCCAGCTAACAGAATTTACAACATGGATGAAAGTGGATTTCAAACCGTCCCAAGTAAATTACCGAAACATGTGGCTCCCACTGGAAAAAGAGAAGTAGCCAAAAATGTAGCTGCTGAGCAGGGAAAGACTGTGACAGTGGCATGCTCTATGAGTGCAACGGGTCACTATGTTCCACCATTTTTTATTTTTGCGCGAAAGAGATTAAACTCTCTTTTGATAAAGGATGCTCCAAGTGGTTCAGCTTTAGGTGTAACGGACTCAGGATACATGAATTCACTAAGATTCGTAGATTATTTAGAGCATTTTCGCAAGTACACAAATCCTACTTTTGACAGCCCTATACTGTTGATTCTGGACAATCACATTTCTCATACCAGCCTGCAGGCGATAACCTACGCAAAGAATAATAATATACACTTGCTCAGTCTTCCACCACATAGTAGTCACCGTACACAGCCCTTGGACAGAAGTTTTTTCAGGCCACTTAAAGGTTACTACGATGACTTGTGTGATAACTGGACTACCTCGAATCCTGGACAAGTAGTAACAGAATATCACGTTGCTGGACTATTCAAGCAGGCCTATGAAAAAACTGCTAGTATTGAAAAAGCCGTTAATGGATTTCAGATGACTGGAATATACCCACTCAATGAAAATATTTTCACTGAAGAAGACTTTCTTCCAGCTTCTGTGACCGAACAGGAGATTGACGACATAGACGACCTGGACAAAAATGACCCTGACATGCATTTAGTGATTGTATTTGAAGAAAACAAGCCCGAAGGCGATAACGAAGGGGGAAATGTAGCAGAGGGCATAGGTGAGGAGGGCACCAGTAGAGAGGGCAGTAGTGGAGAGAGCAATAGAGGAGAGATAAATAGTGGAAATGGCAATAGTGGAGCAATAATGCTCGAATCTAATGAAAAGAAAAATAATGTACCAGACAACTCCCTAATTTTGTCAGAAGCATCGTGCTCCTCACACTGTGAAGGTAGTGTTGTGCTACCTTCTGATATTATTCCTCTCCCTATAATTTCTAAAAAGAGAAAGCGGACGAGAAAAGGACTCAAATCTACTTTACTCACTTCCACTCCAAACAAAGAGGAATTAGAAAATATAGAGCAAGAAAAGAAAAGAAAAATGGAAGAAAAGGAAAGAAAAGCGAAGATTAAAAGGGATAAAAAAGTAAAAAGAAACGTGTTCAAAGAAAAACAAAATCTCACAAGAAAAAATAGCGAGACCTCATCGGAATCCGAATCAGGACTTTCCCTTCACGATAGTAGTAGCGATTTGAATCTTTCAACCAGTGATGATGAAACAGTCCGTGAATTTACCCCAGGACAGTTTGTCGTTGTCAAAGTATACGGAAAAAACAAAAAATCATTTCGCCATTACGTGATGCGGATTATTGAAGTGATGGAAGATGGTTGTAGCGGAAGGTATTTCAAAAAAGCGTCCGATACACAGAGATTCATTGAAACTACTGAAGAATTCTTTGTCAATAAGTGTGACATAGTAAGTAGACTCCCCATGCCACAGACAGGCAGTTCCGCCAGGTTCAAGGATTCGGTTACGTTTTCAACAGACTTGAGCAACTTTGTTTTGTTATAAATATTATTTCTTTTGTATTTTATAAAATACTATGTTTTTCTGGAAATATATTCTTCAGTTATGTGACATGCAGTTTTCATTTTTTGGAGGTACTTTCTGAAAGGGGCAAAAGTCCTGAATGCGGATTTTTACCCCCTTCCAAGGGGCAAACGTCCGGATCATCATGTTTTGGTATGACACTTTTTCACAAACATACATCCGTATATTTTGCATTTGATTCATGTTACAAGTCAAGAGTATTAATAGTTCTAACATGTCAACAAGTTTGAAGTTCGTGTTATAGACGAATGCGTCACAAGCAACTACAAATGCTAAAATGCGGATATTTGCCCCCACCTACTACAGAGGAGGACGTGGCTGGTCGGATGGGAGTTCCATTTGCTTTAGCACGGAAATTAGGAGGGGTGGACAAACTATGGAAGTATGTTCCACCCGAGCAATGGGGCAAGTATGTCAAGACATCCGACTGCTTCCTCCCACTCTCGGGCAATGGTTATTTACGGCAGACGAACCTGCGGGCGGCAATCACGTGGAGCACTGAACAAGTGCCTCCATTTCACGGAGAGAAGAGATCGCGGCTACCAGATCGCATGCTGTACGTCTTCATGGGGAATGGGGCTGGGAAAACACACCTGAGCAGGATTCACCCAAGAGCACAAGATTTGGACTGTGTTTGGATGAATGTGGAGGGGTCGATGCGGATTAGGGAAGATGCGGCTTGGTCCAAGAGCTGCTTGGAACCATTCACATCGAGGGCTCAAGAGATGTTGGCTATCGCCAGAAGCCGAACACCCATCGTGCTTGGGCAGATGGACCCCGACATCGTACTCAAGGCGGCTAAGCAGATTGGCATTTCGGTAGAAGTGATAGCTTATGACCCTGGAGAGACTTGCGCGTAGGGAAGGATGGGATTCAGGCCACATTGAGCGACGGATCGCGCGATCGAACAAGCACTATAGCACACTTCCGAAGAGGAACACTGTGGAGTTCAGCGAACAGACAGAGCTGCTGGCATACATCAGAAACTTTGATGACCAGATAACGGTGGAGATGCATAGTTATCAAGCGGGCTTGGGACGACAGCCAGCCAAGTTCGTTTTTAACTATAGTGGCCATTTTGAGTTCAAAAATTAAGTCTAACAATCATTGGCCAAGTTAGTTTCCATCTTTAGAGATTCAGACGACCTTTGCAAGGGTTGTAAACTGATCGACCAATGAGGAGACAAGGGTTGAACTCTTATCTTTGATTTATACGGTTGAAAAAGTTGCTTCGATTTTCCCTCAGTTAGTGGATGTTAATAAGTGTTGCATTGGTAGAATTTGTGTTAAGTTGTGTTCTCATCAGTAAGCACTTCCAGTTACTTAAAAAGGGGCTTTTCCCTTCTTTATTAGCCCTTCTGGCTAAAGCTAAAATAACACCGAGTCAACTAAGGATTCTATGCATTAGCTTGATTAATTAGCATTGTAAAGTTGAGATTCTTGAGTTTAATTTTGCTATTAGGCTCAAACTTAAATTTATTGTGAATTAGTTGTCACCGTTCCTTTTAACTTAGGCGTAATTCACTCCTCCAGTGATCCTTTCCCCAGCCTATTAGTTTTTCGAAGTTAACTGTTCTTTGTCATTGCTACTTCACTCTTCACGAGTGTTGAGATATTTTGAGTCTGTAATTCAATTATTAACACGTTCGCTGCTAGACATTTTTTAACATGTGTCCAATACGCCAAACATATATTTTACATCGGGGCAGCGCGGCCCAGTGAGGTAAGTTAATACTGTCATGTGCCGTTGGCCCGTTGACGCGTAACATAACCTATATTCTAATATGTCAACAATCAATTTGAGAAGTTAATTTATCCTGCTCTTGAGGAGAATAATAGCCGTAAGTAGTTTATATTAGTTCAGTAGATAGATATTGTTTTAATTCTATGTATTTATAGATGTCTAAACGTACGAGACCTTTGTCTCAAAGTGAGCTACTCAAAATAGCTGACAATTTTGGGAAATTCTCCGACGAAGATGATTCGGATCCATTTGAAGCTTCTGAGAGTGATTATGTTTGTAGTTCAGAGTCAGACTCGAGCTCAACATCGGATTCAGAATCTATAAGAATCATACAACAGTATGTATCAAGGAAAAAAGTAAAATTAAATCCAAACCCAAGCACTGTCCAACCGAATATTGATCCTGAAGCGGAGATAGGTGAAGAACCTTGCGAAGTATCCGAAGCAAACGTAGACCCAGCATATAATTTAGATCCAGAAGAGAACACAGATCTGGATTTAAATGACAGAAATCCACAACGGAACTTAAACATGCCTTCCTTATCGAATTGGGGCCAATTAGCAGGTAACTATAAAAAAATACCAGATTTTACGATCGAGTCAGGAATAAAATCGGAAGTAGCTGCATTACTGGCACATGGTAAACCGGGAGATTTCTTTGACGCCGTCGTCGACAACAGAGTTATCAGCATGATTTGTGATCAAACAAATCTGTACGCATCACAGACTCTTATGCGTACAGATGCAAAACCAAGCTCTCGCTTGCATGAGTGGATTCCCACAACAAATACTGAAATCAGAAAAATTTTGGGATTAGTTGCATGGATGGGTTTGGTACAAATGCCAAAAATTTGCCGACTACTGGAGCAATGATACAATTTTCACTAATCAATTTGCGAGGAAAGTCATGTCAAGGAATCGATTTGAGATTTTGTTGAGAATGATACATTTTACTGATAATTCATTGGCAGACCAATCTGATAAATTGTACAAACTAAAGCCCCTAATAGAAATGTTAGTGGCTAATTTCAAGTCGCTATACGTTCCAAATGAACACATCTGCGTCGATGAGACACTCTTGCTATTTAGGGGAAGATTAGGCTTTAGACAATACATAAAATCAAAACGACATAAATATGGCGTGAAGTTGTTTAAAGTGTGTTCTAATCTTGGATATACATATAACTTGAAAATATATGCAGGAATAGAGAATAATCAGAAGGTCACTCCAGAAAGTATTGTACGTTATCTTCTTGACGACTTGCTACATCAAGGAAGGACACTTATAACTGACAGTTGGTATACAAGTTTGGAATTGGCAGAGAAAATGCTCGATTCCAATACGCATTTAGTAGGAATAATTAGAAAAATACGAACAGGTTTGCCCAAAGAAGTGATAAATGCAAAGTTAAAAAAAGGAGAAATAATTTCTCTTGAAAACCAGGCTGGCATAAACATCAGCAACTGGAGAGATAAAAGGAATATTTATATCCTATCCACTAAACATGGAAATGACATGCAAGAAGTCTCATGTAATCGGCAAACTAAGATGGAACCAAAAGTAGTATTAGACTATAATAAAGGCAAAGCAGCAGTTGATGTATCCGACCAACTGGGGGAATACTCTAATCCTCTAAGAAAAAGCGTGAAGTGGTACAGGAAAGTGGCTTTCGAACTTTTATTAACGACATCTATGGTAAATTCTTATATTTTATATAAGCTTGTAACTGGAGAAAATATGTCAGTGACAGATTTTAAAAAGCACATTATAAAGCATCTAGTGACAAACAATAAAGAGAGTCATTCAGAAAAACAAATACCTACACCCATTGTTCATCACGTCATTGAAGTGAAAACAGATGGAAGCCAACATCAACGAAGAAAGATGTGCAAAAACTGGTACAAGACGAACAGTGAAAAACATGGGCGCCAATATGCCATGAACAAAACTAAAAAGGTAGATACTTTCTGTAAAAGTTGTGCGAACGAACCATTTTTGTGCATACCTTGTTTTAATATACTTCATAATCACTAAATAAGATACCATGTTTATTTTCATTTTTTTTTGTATAACGATTAATGTTATTTTATTCATGTAAATATATTTGTTGGTCAAATAAAGTTTATTTTAAAGCCAGAACCCTCCTTTTATCATGCTTGTATAGGTACGGTGTTCCAATAGGGACCACGTTTCACATTATGGAAAAATCTTAAGAAATTATATGTGCGGCTTATAGCTTCTAGGCCATGTTGGTCCATTTCTACAGTCGTGCATAGTTAAATATGCGCCAACGGCCCAGCAGCTATTAGAAAATGCGTTGACCCCATGGGACCAACATAGCCTGGTAAGGCAAAATATTTGTTGGACCCACCGGACCAATGTGGCCTGCTGAGGCAACATGAGTGTTGGTCCTATAGGACCAACGTGGCAGTGAACGTGTTAATAAAAATGAGTCTCCTTTAACTTGAGTTCCATTAATTTCATTAACTGGAGCTAACTGAGTTCGAGGGTTCCGAAATTCATTCGGGCGTTTACCACATTCTCTGATTACTTGGAGAACAGAGGAAGCACCGTTCCGCGTAAAGTGAGTGTTTCAATGAGTCAAGATTAGACTACTTTATGTGACGTTCTACGCGAGTCTACCTCCTATAGGAAGACAAATAAAAGGTAACAGAATTTGAAGGGTCTCGGACCAGTCCAGAAATTGAAGTATTGGACGGGAAATACGAACTATATATTCAAGGCACGACATTGAGAGGTCCGGGAGTCTCGGACGAAGATCCTGTTACATGTGTATTGGTTTGCATGTGTATAAAATCAGCGATATTTGCTGTGTGAGAAAATCATTACTGAATATGCACCCAGTCAAGTATATCTATTGGCTGTGCCCGGCGAGTTATTTTTATTTTGTGTTTTCGGAACAGAGGTTACGTTCAAAGTTACAAATTACGAAAAACTGAGGAGAATTATGGGAAATCATCACCGCGCCCGCGTTGTGTGTAATTACTGTTAGCATGTATATGGCTTGTAATTCGACAGTGTACAGTGAATATAATTATCTCTTGTCTCTCTCATTTTTGAAATTCAGCAAATTTGTACATGTAATTTCCAGAATGGATAAGAAAAAGTGGATGCGCAACTAGCTTTGAATTTCAATTAAGTGTATTTCAGACAAGAACCCAATGTAATTATCATCAACACATGCAACTTACATTACAGCTTAGACCTCCAGTAATGCCATCTCAGAAGCAGATTTTACATCACATCAGAGCCACAGAAGGGTTATACATGCGGTTATCAGAGGTATCCCAGCGTCAACCACCGAACAGGAGGTCAAAGATGAGCTAGAACGGAAGGGTTACGCTCCCTTTCACATCATTCGCCTAAAGCGCAACGGCGGCGTGCCCATGCCCTTGGTGGTGGTGATCCTGCCTAAGACGGAGAAGTCACAGCAATTGTTCAACGAGCACGAATTGCTGGGGCTCTCTACAAGAGTCGAAGTTCAGAAGATCTCTCGACTCATTGGGCAGTGTCACCGCTGCCAGAAGTATGGACACGCACAGTCGTATTGCACTGTGCCGCCAAAGTGTCTAAAATGTGCCCAAGACCACATGACACATATGTGCCCTCAAACAGGACAAGAGGTGCGCAGATGTGCGAACTGTGGGGGGGACCATTCGGCAAATAGTCCTACCTGTAGATTTACTCCTAGTAGAAATCTACACGTCATCGCACAAAGGCGAGCAAAGTCATACGCGGATGCAGCAAGAGATGACGCCTCAACTGACCATGCTGTTTCGAGATCATCTACGACTACTCAAAATGTGGACCTAGCAACAGCGCTCAGGTCGCTACAGCAGATTATTAGTCCCCTGATAAGCGCCGCTCAGGCATTGCAGGCGATCTTCCCGCTAAATGGCTAGGTACAATAGCAGACAGCCTGCATTCATCAAAATTCTTTTCTGGAATTGTTTGGGTCTTAGGGATGTCCCCAAAAAACGGGAATTTCATCAAGCTCTTTTGGATGAAAGCGTAGATGTGGCTCTGCTGCAGGATACATTGCTTAATCCGGGAGATCGTCTAGCTTTCCCGAATTATGATGTTATCCGCGCTGATAGATTAACTGGACGGAGTGGCGGTTCGGCAGTGCTAGAGAAACGTGGTATTGACTATTACAGAAGCACAAACGCGGAGATGCAGAGCATCGAGGCAGCTTCCGTGGTAGTGAATATGACGGGAGGTATCTCGTTGAAAATCGCATCGGTTTATGTCAGATGTGGTGCCAGGCTGTAAGAGACGGATCTGGAAGTCCTGTTTGACTGCTCGGATCCGAATATTGTAGCAGGGGACTTCAACTGTAAACATCGAGTATGGCACTCTAGGTTAAATTCCACCAGTGGGATTCGACTTTACAACCATGTGATACGAAACGGCTACCTCATACACAGCACTGAGGAGCCGACTCACCACCCATTGAATCACCTTCAGGCACCAGAAGTCATTGACTTCGCGATATCTAGAAACTGTAGATTCAGTGTCACTTCTCGAATCATGTATGACATTTCGAGCGATCATCTTCCTATAGTACTGGAAGTGGGTAATGAGCAAACCTTGGAAGGGGAAACTCCTCCAAGGAAAAGGGTTGATTGGGAGCTATACAAGTCGCTCCTTAGAGAGTTCCCCAATATCCCGATCATAGATGATGAGAACGATATAGATGCTGCTCAAGCGGAGTGGATAAGTTCCGTTCAGCAAGCTCTGCAGCGTGAAGCTGTACTACCAGTACAACGACACGGCAGACCTTTTCTCCCTGCAGACATTCGTCAGAAAATTTCTGACAAAAGAGCTGCAATTAAGCAAGCCAAGAGGTCTTGTCACCTAGATGACATTCTTAGAGCAACGAATCTTGTTCATGAAGTGAGAAATGCTCTTCTTGAATTCCGTAATGAGCAATGGAGCGACTTTCTGTCGGGGATGCTTGACTCAAGTATTCCTCTCTGGAAAGTTGCAAAGTCGCTCAGAAACGGAAATCGAGAACAACTCCCGCACATCCACGGTCCTAGGGGCATAGTCTGTAGGACAGAGGAAAAGGTCGAGGTTTTCGCTGATGTAATGGAAAGTCAGTTCTCTCCCAACTATGACCTTGATAATGACCTCGACGAGGAGCAACATATTGTAAGATCCGTCAGGAGATATTTTATCTCTATATCTTTAATCTTCAGAAGATTCCTCAACCTAAGAGCTACATGGCACACCAGCGGAATCTCCTGAGACTCCACATTGCACACCAGCAGAGCTCCAAGGTCATATTAAAGACCTCAAGGTGCGTAAAGCACCTGGAGAGGATCGAATCACTAATAAGGTGCTGAAGCTACATCTGTCCAAATTATTGTTAATCATGGGTGAATAAAAACTGCTATATGTATATTCAAGTATAAATAAAATAGAAAAACCATCTTGTTTTTGCAGCAAAAACAGATGGTAAAATGAATAACGAAACTGAAGCCCAATCAAGAAATATTACCAGGGAGGAAAAAGATAGATGAGAGGAAGAAACGATTACTAGATGCTTGCAGAATAATACAAAATGCTAGCAGGGACTCAATACAAATATTATCAGAGAACGCAGTATGTAATATAAGGTCGATAGAAAGAAACTCCCGATCTCTCAAAGACCCAAATCCTCTAATGTCAGCACTAACAAACATAAACCTGAAATATCCAATAACTTGTCCCCAAAATGATCCCAAGGGAAGTGAAAGTGGATGATGAGATATTTAGAAGAAGAGAAAGGAAACTCTGCAAATTGACAGCCATTCCAAAATGGATAGAAACGTGCCCAGAAACACCAGAAAGCATAAAGAAAACAATAGCCTCAACGTTAAGCAACCAATTAGAAAAAGCAAGAGAAATACAAAGTATAAAATGGGACCAAACAACATTCATCATTGGGGAGACATCATATACCAGACTTGCGGTTCCAACAAACCCAGACTGTGTTGAGATTCCAAAGGAATTAAGGAAGCCAGCATTAGCTGAAGTGCTTAATCTGGAGAATTATATTGAATATGAGGAGGTACCAGATTATTATATTGAGAAGGTCCAAGAAATAATAGGACCAAATGCAATGGATTTAAGCACTATTCCAACAATAGTTAATTATGTTCAATCTCAACTTGATCCAAAAGTGAGACATCTACCAATTATGCCTGGAATGGACCCAAAAGAAGTTCATCTGCTTCATGCAATAGTTCAGCCGAACTACCGAATAATTGGGTTGGGCGCATTCTTCACACAGAAAACAAGTCAAAATCAAATACTAACGGAACTGTGTATGAATATACTCCATCATGTGTCTATAATAGGGTTGACATCCTCCAAATACGGAAATATCTTGCATCATCATACATCCACGATTACCCTGCTATAAAAATTTTATCATTGGCGATGGAAAACAAATTCACAAGGTACTGTAAAGCAGTTTGTGGTTTCCCAATAAACCCATGCATAATAAAAGGAGGTTATAAATTCTACCCTACTCCAAGCATCCCTTTAATTGTGAAGATAGAAACAAACTCTACTGATAATGCATACAGAACTTATTGCGGTGTGGAGAGAGTATTTTTCGAGGGAGAACACACAACAGGATTCTTTGATCACAATTCCGATTTAATGGGTCACTTGACAATAATGAGGACAACAAGGAAATAATTCATTGAGACCATCGTTAAAATTTCAGTGTTTTGCAAAGCGGGATACAACAGACCTAAGGCTAGGACAGAAAAAGTGATGTCTCAGGAAGCAGCTAGTTATTGGAGAAACAATCCAGAACGTTTCTTGCAATGGAGTAAAGATGAGCTAAGGGGTTTAGGAAATCAATTGAAGGAAGCAACGATGAAATATCATACAGACAAATAAGAATAGTGAATTCTTTGGAGACAAAACTACCGGATACTTTAAGACCACAAATACGAGGATCAGACGCAATAAATCCTTTCACCAACCAAATTATATGCAGTTTCCCCGGCTTCATAAAACCCCCCATACTAAATAAAAATGTTAAACTTCAAGAGCCAGAATTATATTATTTGTTACATCCTTTCAAATTGCTGAGAAAAGCTTGAATAATAAATAGAGAGAATTGCAACAAAATACGAAGAAATGTAATCGAAGAAAAATTCAGTCCACCTTTCCAAAAAATAATAAATTATGTCCCTGATGGACTAAGGAGACATGTCTCAAACAGCATCAAGCCCATCCTGAGTGAACTAATAAAACAAACTCCATTGGATACTTTCTTAATATCCATCCTGTACAATTTCGCTGATTCTTCAACGGGAAAAAAGACAACAAAGGCCCTAACAAAATTTATATATTACAGTGAACAAATAAATTTGAATCTACGAGAAGGATTAATAAAAAAAAAGGATTTGACCACTAAGTCTATTTCCATTGGGGGAGAACAAGCATTTAGGCTTGGATCAGAAGATATAAGTGACAGAATGATAACTACTGGATTGCTCCCAGGATTTAAGTTGAAGAGGACCATTGGACCAAACCCTAATTTCCAAACAAAGAGCATAAAATGGTTGAACCACAATAAGAACACCATCAGGCCTGGGGACACTTACAATACCTTGTTCCAAACAACAAACTTTTACGCAACTAGGGATGAAGAAATAGATGCAGCAACCATACAAACTTTAGGAAGGTATTTCACTATACCTGAGGATTAAGCCCTTCAGAACACTTTTCAAGACTGCTAAGAAAAAGAAAGATAATGGAAGAAGGTACTAGCACTAGCGGATCCTCAAATGAAAACGGAATGGTTAAGAAGAGAAAAATAGATGAGTCGGCCTCCATTCCTTAACACGTTGAGTACGGATGTAGAGTGCAAAAAATTGAGTCTCAGGGACGGGATTTTTTTTTGTGTTTCTTTCGGTGAAATTAAGTCTTTAATGTGTAATATATATTGTTTTATTTGCAAATATGACATTCTTTGATATTTAAAAAAATATATTACACGTGACATCACAGTTATGTCTCGCCGTCTTTACCTTCAAACCAGCGTATGGACGGTGAGACATATACGTGATGCCATGTTTTGCAGGTCTAATCTTGTATGATTATGTTACTGGTGTTGAGCGCATTTCGGCGTAATGCTAATTTATTAGCTCTGTTTACGTGGAAGGGTAAGCATTAGATAAAAATTGGTAGTTACGAACGTGAGCAAGCAGCATTACAGATGCTGTGGGAAGAGTGTGTGCCCGATGATGAGAGTAATATAGGTGAATTTGGTGACGTATATTTATCAGATGAATATAAACCTAAGTCAGACGAAGAGACATCCAGTGACAACGATATTTTAGTGGAGCGTGCAAAGAGACGTAAAACTTCAATCAAAGACTTGGGAGACAATGCAGCAGGTCCATATACTGCAGAGCACAATATAAGCGTGGATGCAGAAGACACGGTAATCATAAAGACATCTTTATTTAGTAGTATGCACGTCTTCCCTGAACAAATTAGTAAATAAGTGGTAATAAGTCATACTTTGCCTGGTTGGGAGAGGGATTTTATAAAACAAAATGACAGAGTATTCTCAAATTCCGACTCCCGCTGAAAAAGTTTTTTATTTATTGATTTTTCGGCAGATTTTTCACAAATTGCGTTTACTTTCTTATTACTTGGAATATTTACATATGGGCAGTTTTTTTAGATCAGGTTATTACTTTTTTACATTGACAATAATACTCACTTTTTCCACATTTGGAATGATTCATAAAAATAAAATATTCTCGAGGATTTAAACGATTTTGTTTCAGATTCAAAATGTAATAGAAGATGTCATTTCTCAATATGCAATTGAAAGCGAAGATGAAGAAATGCAGACTCCTGATTCTGGTGACAATATAAACTGGGGTCCTGTTGACGGTTCATCACTCAAACATTTTGGTTTTGCTGAAGCTGACATTGGAATAAAGCCTGAATTTTATGAAAATTATGACAAGGAGCCCTATGATTTTTTCAAATTATTTATTACTGATGAGATAATAGAGTATATGGTATATCAAACAAACCTCTATGCTGAGCAAGTACTAAAGGAAAAACCGACGGCCAAAGGACATGTGAAAAAATGGGTTCCTACTACAAGCCAAGAAATGGAAAATTTTCTTGGAATTATATTGTGGATGGGACTTATGAAACTTCCACGTCTAAAAGCTTATTGGAGCACTAACATTTTATACATAAACAAAGTAAAAGAACTCATGGCCCGAGATAGGTTTGAACAATTATTGAAAATGTGGCATTTCAACAATAACGAAGATGAAAGTTATGCAAACGACAGACTTCGAAAACTGACATCTTTAGTGAACAAATTATTGGATAGATTTCAAATGATCATCAAACCAGGGTCTGATGTATGCATTGATGAAGCCCTCGTCCCATTCCGTGGTCGCCTCAGATTCAGGCAATATATAAAAAATAAGAAAAATAAATTTGGAATAAAATTGTATAAGTTATGTACTGCCGGAGGTTATACATTTAATTTGAAAATATACTGTGGGCTTGATAACACAGGTGGAGGCAATGCATCATCTAACGCTGTTATGTCTTTGATGAGTGAGCTTTTAGACACTGGACGGATACTTTACACTGACAATTATTATACCAGTGTTTCATTGGCTACCCAATTGTTACAAAGAAAAACGCAGCTCGTAGGAACAGTGAGGTCCAATAGAAAAGGAAACCCAAAAGAAGTATTGAATAAAAAATTGAAAAAACATGAAGTAATAGGTCAGGAGAGCGGTACCGCCATTGTAATGCTCAAATGGAAAGATACTCGTGATGTGTTACTATTGACCACAGTACACACTGATGAAATAATCAAAGTTCATCAGCGTGGAAAAGAAATTGAAAAACCGCAAGCTATAGTTGATTACAATAAATCGAAAGCTTATATTGACTTGTCAGATCAGCTAAAAACTTATTCACATTGCCTTAGAAGGGGCAACAAATGGTACCAGAAACTAGCAATTGAATTAATTTTTGGTTCTACATTGGTCAATGCATTTATTTGTTATAAAGAAGTAACACAAAATAAAATTCAAATTACGGAATTCAGGGAGCTTTTAACATTATCACTTCTAGGTGTAAATAACAAACCTAATGAACCAAATCAAAGAAATACAAAACACGAGCTTCAAGAGCATGCGAAAAATAGATGTGTGAAATGTTATGCCAAAGCTAAGGAGGAATTTGGTCGAAAAGAAGCGCAAAGCAAAACACCGAGGACTAAATTTCAGTGCACTCCTTGTAACAAGAGCTATTGTATCCCGTGTTTTTTTGAAACCCATCATGCTGAGAAATTGGATTAACATTTTAAATACCATTGTATTATCTTTAAACCACATTATATAAGTTGATTTGCACTTCTTAGCTGTAGAATATACGTTTATTTTATATTATTGCATTTCATTTTGTTATATTTACTGTAACTATATTTTCTAAATTGAAATAAAATTGTATGCTATCTATAACATAGTATTTTAGTCAAATATCCACAGCCGGATAACAGAAAACGTTCGTATAGACGGCTAACTATCGTTTCCCATTCATTTGGCATTATAGCGAGACACTACACCGAACCACACCGTCTTATTCAATATTTAACATGAGACGTTATTGTCATGTCTCACCGTCCCTAGATTACCTAGTCGGTGAGGCATTACTTTAATGCCACACCGTGCTCAACGGGTTAAACTACATCTGTCCGAATTATTGTTAATCATGGGTGAATAAAAACTGCTATATATATATTCAAAGCTACTTTCGCGGAAGTCCTTAACTATCAATAATCAATGCCATGCTAAGGACAGAGCACTTCCCAACGGCGTGGAAGACCGCTGATGTCATAATGATTCCAAAGAAGGTGGGTTCGATATTCCTCCAGGATTACCGCCCCATTAGTCTACTGTCAGCTCCTTTTAAGCTCACTGAAAAGGTGATTCTACGTCACCTTGAAAATTTCTCGGCAGACCACAATGTGATTCCTGACGTGCAATTTGGCTTTCGGTCTGAGCATAGTACGGAGCTACAGGCCATAAGGCTTGTTGAATGAGTAACCAGGGCGTTCACCCGTAACGAAAGTACTGGCATCTTGCTTCTGGATGTCTCAAAGGCATTTGACAAGGTGTGGCACAAGGACCTTCTCTACAAATTGATCCATAAGGGCTTCCCCTTCTGGCTCCTAAAACTTGTTCGAGGATAGGAAATTTCGGATCAAAATTAATAAAGTTCTGTCAACAACACAGCTCATCAAAGCCGGTGTCCCTCAGGGTTCGGTTCTTGGACCAGTCCTTTATTCACTTTTTATTCATGACGTCCCTTGCCCCAGCAACTGTGAAATCTATCTCTATCCTGATGACACTGCTCTGGTGGCCCAGTCGTGCTCTGGGGATCTAGTTCACGACGGGCAAAGTGCAGTGGATGAGGTATTGGAATGGGCGGATCGGTGACTGATCAAAATTAATCATTCGAAAACGCAGGCAATCTATTGTACTAAAAAACGTAGCGGCGCCCCGTCTGAGGTTTCAGTGAATGGAGCTCGGGCACCATGGGAAAGCTCTGCTAAGTAACTCGGTGTCACTCTTGACAAGGGAATGACCTGACAGAAGCACACTGAAGCGTTAAAAACTAAATTCCAAATTACGTTTCGGCAACTCTGCCCTATGCTATGTAGAACATCAAAATTAAGTTTGATCAACAAAGTTACAAAGTTCGGCTATACAATATGGTTATTAGACCAGCGATCACTTACGCAAGTGCAGCTTGGTGTTTTCTCGCCGAAACGCATTTGCGTAGCCTGCATGTTTTGCAGAACAGAACCTTGCGTACAATCACTAACGCCCCATGGTATGTTTCCAACGAGACTCTTCACAGAGACCTTGACATCCCTTACCTAAGGGACTACATCAAACAACAAGCGCAGCTACGTTATAGTCAAGCGGAGTCGCATAACAACCCTTTGTTGCGCGAGTCAGTAGACTACACAGTCAAGCAAGTTCGCAAGCACACAAGGCCGCGACTCGCACTGTGCTCCAATCAAAATTATAATTTTTCTTCAACAACCAATCCCAAAATTAATTTTAGGATCAATTTAAAATTGCCGAATACTAATTAGCAATGCCAAGGCACCCCACAAATTGACGCACTTCTTTTTTCTTTGCTCTCCCTCCTTCCTTCCTTCCTTTCTTCTTCCCTTCTTTCTCCCTGACTTTGTTTGGTATCTGGACAATCAGACCTGACAGACCTACTGACTTACAAGACTTCAACCAACAGCAAAGGTTCTACGGACCGCTCTGACAGACAATGACGAATAGATCACATCAGAGCCAAAGATTGATAACAAGCCTCATGACGTTTAGGCAACACGTACAACTAAGTGCTAAGTTAATATCTTGTAGAAAAACTTACATAGTGTCAAAAAAAACAGCATAATGTCAAAAAAAAATCAGCATAATGCCACTTTTCAAGATACGTGATACCCGTGCCGGTTGTGATATGATAGTAACAGCTGGTGAAACATTAGTGCTAATTTCAAGTGCCTAAAGCGATATTTAAGGTATGTAGGGGAGAGGTTGGTATAGTGGTTAGTCAGGAACAGTGGCCACCTTCTAATATTATTTTCTTGCTACTAGATATTGACCTGCCATCTCTTGAAATAAATAATTTTGTTGTTGTTGTTAGTGTCCGAAACGTCCGCCCTCTTTGTAATACTAAATGTCGATTGAAATGTTTCAACAAGTTCTTGGAATAGGAAAGAATCACCATTTTTGAGAACTACTGGGCACTGGGAGACATAAATAAACAAAGAGCTTTTATTGCTCGGTCCATGAAAAAAATTGAACCACATTATAGATGCCCCTTACAAGACGACAAGACAAGAAATTTCAATAACTCTTTCTTTTTTTAAAAAAATAGAGAAAAGATAAGAATATCTAAAATATTTTTTACTGCAACTCTAGACATTTCTAATAGGTGCATTCGAACAGTGATTTCTAAAACCACAGATGGTTTCGTAACCTCTGATTTAAGAGGAAAACCTGAAAACTATGTGCAGGTTTGGAAAGTCACTACACTCGTCAGCATTCTCCCAAATGCTTTATAGAAGGTGTGAAAACAGTGGCCCAATTGTAAAGGGATTACGAGAAACTCTGTGAAGAGGAAGGAAGGCCTGATGGAAACTTAACAATGTACACGGGAATATTTAACTATGTATTTAATTATGAATTTTTCTCTCCAAAAAAACGACCAGTGTTAACAATGTGCGTGCTACATGAATCTCAGTTTAGATGGCAAAAAAGAAGCTGAAACTAAATATCGAAGTCATCTGGAAGAAAAGGAACTTAGAACGTAGAAAAGAGAACGAGGCTGATAAAAACTCAATCAGTGACAAATTTCAGTTATCTTGTTTCGATTTACAGGCCGCTTTGTCCACCCCACGTGGAGAAATTATCGACCTATAATTTTACGATTTGCGACTTGGAGAAAAAGTATATTGTTACCTATGGCATGAAGGTGAGGGAAACAAAGGTTCATCTGAGATTGGGTCATGCTTGTTAAAATTTCTGGAAAAAAAGGCAGCTCGTTGTAATACGGATGAATTGGAAATAACATTATATTCTGACAATTGCTGTGTACAGCAAAAAAATAAATATATCATTGCTTGTTACCTTTATGCTGTCGCTAAATTTAGAATTAAATCGATAACACATAAATTTCTTGTATTTGGGCACACCCAAAACGAGGGTGACTGTGTCTACACTATGATTGAAAAAAATAAAAGATCATTGAAATCAATTCCAATCTACATTCCATCGCAATATGCCACACTAATTAGGACCGCAAGGAAAAAAGGCAGCCCTTTCAAGCTCTGCGAAATGAGATATGATGACTTCTATGATATAAAAGATCTCACAAGCCAGACGTCTTCTATAAATACTGAAAATGAAACACTTCTCTTCAGCGATATTTGCGTTATAAAGGTAGAAAAGCTATCATTAGATAAACATCTTACAAGCGAACTATTTTTAAAATGGTCAAAATCAAATCGTCAAGATTTAGAAAAAATTTGCAGTCCTTCGAGCAGGTAGCACTGAAAAAGGCTTACAGTAAACCAATTCCAATATCTAAAAAGAAATTTGAAGGTCTACAAGCCTTAATCGCCAGCAATGCGATACCAAGGTGCACTCAAATTTCTACAACAATCTCCAATATCAGTCTTAATTAAAGATGATTTGCTTTAGAGTCAAACAATTTTTGTCGTTGTTTGTATTGTATTTAAAACATTGCTACAACGTTAGTATTCGTAGATATCGACCATGTGTAAGTGTTTAAAAGTGTTTTCTTAAGTTTCCTATTTTATAATCTTAGTTTTCAATAAAGTTTAATTTTAATTTTGTAGTTACTGTTGTTGCTTCAATCCTTATAATACCTAGTCAGTCTATTTAATGAAAAAAGTTCTTGCTGCAATAGTGGCATAACTCAAAATATTTTTAAAAACTGGCATTTCAAAGATAACTTTTAAAAAATAAAATCAAAATTATACATAACCCCTATCGAATTATTCTTTAGAGAAGGTATCAACTTGAAAGTAATCTTCGCTTGAGCAAACTAGAACATTCCTATGCATTTTCCTGAGCGATGAAAACTTAAAACCCATTTTATCTCGAAACATGATTTTTTGCCGCTATTGAAGCCCATGAGCGATTTATAACTATAAAAAATTGTGTCAATTTATTCCAATATAGAGTCCCCTAAAATTTAAAGATATCGAGGGTGCTCAATACTTTTGGCCAAAGCTGTAGATTTAATATTTTAATCACATTTAGGCTGTACCCTAAGGGTACAAGGGTAGGGTTGTCATCTGCCATCCATCCGCCAGTCAAGTTTTCAAATTTTTATGTCAGAAGCACTGATGTCACTCACTGCAACCTTCGAGCTACAATTTTCATCTACATATTCCTGAACATGAAGTCTTTTGACCAGACACAAATCCTGGATCCGCCATTGGCGATGGCCACTCTGCCTTTGTTATTTATAATCACAATATGCATATATCACGCAAAACACCGGATACCAGAAGACAATTTATGATTGGATTGAGCCGTGAGCTGATGACGCCCTGGATGAAACATAGACTACAAATGTCAAGTTTGCAGCGCTCGATCAGAACAACCATTGGTGGTATTCTCAAAGAGGAACCAGTAGAAGAAAGAGCAACTCCAGGAGTATCAGCTGGTGCTATTTGCCAAACATGTCCATCCAAGAAAAGACGAATGACCACTAACTAATGTCAACGGGCTTTTTGTTTGGAACATCGTGCCTTACTTTGCTCGTTGTGTGGTAGTGTCGACTGAATAAATACCATTTGTTGTTAAAATTTATACAAATAAAGTAATTTCAATCATGTAGTAAGGTTTTTGTTTGCTATTTTTTGCTATTTGGTTGCTACATAGTTTTGAAAATGAAATCGTAAATTTTACGAATGATTATTCTTAAGTAGAAGTTGAAAGAGGGTTAGCTCTCTAGGATTAAAATCAAGCATTCAACAAAATTTGTGAAACATAAAAACTTAAATATATTGTAGGTACCTTAAAAACCTCATATGAAATGTTTTTACGGATTTTACAGTAATCAATTAACTTTAACTATATCTCCAAACAAACATAACGGCACTTGGATCTTTTTGGATCTTAACCCCTTCAATTAACTAAAAGGTAATTCAAAATATGTTTTATGGCCAAAAACGTATGCAGTGGTGATAGATATACTATTTTAGTGTTGAATATAAATCAATCATACATCAACATGTTCTAGGTTATGTTAACCCTGTATATTTAAATATACAAATATCAAACAATTTGTCCTTTGCGTCTTATGACCCGCAAGTCGAAGCTACACAGTGTATATCTGAATATACACGTGTGATCGATCGTTTTCGGTAGATTTCGTTGGTAAATCACCCACTTCGGGCAGTTATTTCAGTCTGTACGGAAAGTGTCGTGCTGTTTGGACGCCGCCGGTAAACACGTGATATCAAATAACATTATTAGTGTGTTTTGTTGGCAGAATTGAGCGTACATTTTTTTTGAATACTTATTGAGGCATGTTTACTACAAAGGCATGTTAGAAATAATATATATTTTATATTATTGTACTTTTCAGGCCACTGACGTCACTGTATATTTGAATGTACATTGTTCCATTCTGGTTTCGACTTTACAGAAATTATGGATCCAAAAATATTTTATGGAAAAAAGGAACATGTTACAGTATTAGTACCGGACTTGGATAGCGAGGAGGATTTCGATAGTGATGATAGCTTATTAGACGAAACATATAAACCCACTTTGCTAGATTATGATGGTAGGTAAAATACTATGGAAATAATAAGTTGTGTTGCTATTTTTTTTTTTTAGAAGAGGATTTATTGGAGAGCAGTAGTGGAGAGGAAAGTAATGCTGACAACCAAGGAAACAACAATGAGGAAAGGAATAATCTAGGTAGCTGGAATGAAGATGACGAGATCCCTCTCAGACAACTTCGAGATAAGATTCTCCGTGTGTCTGCTGTTTCTGTTCAAGGTGGGGTCAAAAACATGAAAATCAAGAAGGCTCCCTTGAAATGGCAAAGCTCTAATAAGGAGCCCAGTGATTTGCCAACTTGGAAAGCTCAACTACCCTCTCAGACATCTGTAGAGACACCATTGCATTATTTTTACAAATTAGTCGATAAGGAGTTGTTGGAATACATAGTAGAACAAACGAACCTATATGCGGCACAGAAGGACATAGGTCTAAATTTCTGCATGGATTCCAAAGAGCTAGAGCAATTTATTGGCGTTTGTTTCTATATGTCACTGATTACAGTGCCTGGGACCAGAAGATACTGGAGCAGTGCCTGCAGAGTGTCTCAAGTGGCAGACGTAATGCCTCTTCGGAGGTGGGAACAAATAAAAAAGTTTCTGCATTTTGCAGATAATTCTACATTGCCAGTTGAACCACCAGATCGTCTTTTCAAAATCAGGAAGCTCGTGGAGAGTATAAGGAAAAATTTGAGACTAATTCCCATGGAACAGCACCTTTCTGTCGATGAGCAGATAATACCGTTCAAAGGCCGTAGCTCCCTGAAACAGTACAATCCGAAAAAACCAAAAAAATGGGGTTACAAAATATTTTGTTTGGCAGGTGCTAGTGGTATTGTCTACGACTTTGAATTTTACTGTGGGGCCACGAATCAACCGGAAAATCTACCGGATACCGGATATAAGTGCTAGTAGCAATATAGTGATTCGACTGGCTGAAAACATTCCAAAACACCAGAATTTTCTGCTGTTCTTTGATAACTGGTTTTGTAGCCCCGAGCTTCAAATCGAATTAGCTCGGAATGGTATTTACAGTGTGGGAACTATACGGGAGAATCGAGTGCCATCCAGTGGTTTGCCAACCGACAAATCACTGAAAAAACAGGGCAGGGGGAGCTTCGAGGAAAGAATTACAAGCTGTGGAAGCACTAAACTAAAGATAGTGAAATGGCAGGACAATAAAGTGGTGACTTTGCTAAGTACATTCATAGGCGGCTATCCTGTGACTACTATAAAAAGATTTGACCGCAAAAACCGACAAGATGTAAACATCCAATGTCCCAGTATTATACTCATATACAATAAATTCATGGGGGGTGTCGATTTGATAGACTCTCTTCTGTCATTGTACAGAACGAAAATAAGATCAAGAAAATATTACTTGCGTATTTTCTTTCATTTGATGGATATGTGTGTAGTTATCTCTTGGCTTTTATATAGGCGCGCTTCCGACGACTGTGGCGTATCTAAAAAACACCAAATGTCGCTTTATGATTTCAAAAGTGATTTAGCACAAAGTTTATGTTGGGTGGGAAAACAAAACAAAAGAGGTCGCCCTTCATCAAGTTCTCAGTTACCACCCGTAAAGAAACAAAAGATATCTAGTGTTCGACCAAATATAGATTGTAGAACAGATGGAATGTCTCACTGGCCCACATATGAACAAAAAACTGGAAGATGTAAGAATGGACGTTGCCAAAAGATTACCAAAGTAATGTGTACCAAATGCAAGTGTTATTTATGTTTTGTGCCGGATAGAAACTGCTTTACTCATTTTCATACATGAAATTATTTTGAAAATGTATTTGTTACTTCATTTGTGGTTATTCAAGCTTTTGTAGCTCTTTTAGTTTCAGTTTTTTATTGACGGAATGGTGTAATGTATATTTCAATATACATATGTTTAGTTCAAAAATAGTTTGTTTTGAAGATAAAATATCCAAATAAAGTTTATTCTTATGCTCATAAACAAATCATATTTCGACCAAAACAATTTTTTTAACCAGTCCAACTAGGTGTGTACAATAGAGGGTTAAGGTAAAAGGAGGAGAGATGGACCAGGAGGATAGACGGTCCACCGAAAATATCCGGCAAGGTTTGGCAACAAGGCAAGACTAACCTACTCTGTGTTGTTTCCTAACGTCAGTTGTATGTTGTATCTGAGACGGCCGCTAGAAGGCATCATCGCGCGCCTACGCGAATGTTATTTACGATAATTGAATTTACCACGTGTTAAAATTTTATCAGAATTTTGAAAACCTGTTTTTTTATAAAAATCAGGTAAGTTTATTCGATTTTTTGTTGATTCACTATTTAGATATATATACAAGGTATACTATAGAGTGCCAATTGTAGCTTTAGTCTGCATATTTTAGATGCTAGGGACTAGTCCATCTACCTTCCTATTTGAGTATAGATGGACCACTTAAGAGGAGGAGAGTTAACAGGTATATTTTGTTTTAGAATTATGCCCAATAAAAACATCCGTAAACAAAACACACCAAAAGGGGTTTTTGGTCCCCTAGGGATTTAAGTGATGCAGTAGATGCTGTGAAGAATGGCGATATGGGCATCAATGAAGCCGCCAAAGCATTTGGGATACCAAAAACAACTTTCAAGCGTCGGTTAAAAGCAAACAACACTGATAAGAATGATCGATTGGGCCCGGATTGTTCTTTGGGCTCGAAAGCCGAACTTAAAATTGTTAATCACATCAAGAAACTGCAAAAGGCAGGCTTTGCACCCACCAGAACTGAAGTAAAAATCATGGCGTTTAATTTAGCTCAGCGAATGGGGATCCCAAATAAATTTAATAAAAAAGAAGGTGAATTTTAAAAATACGAAACAAATTGTTGTTACTAATTATCGATTTTTTTAAGTAAAGCTGGCCAGAAATGGTTAGAACTATTTTTAAAGCTAAGACCTGAATGTCCAGAGAAACCGTTGGTAATTACTTTTCTGATCTCGAGAGAATTATGACTGAACATAACTTTTATGATAAACCCGAGCATATATTTAATACAGACGAAACAGGATTACAGCTGTATACCAGAACTGGTCAGGTACTAGCCGAAAAAGGCTCAAAATGTGTTCCTAGTGTAAGCCCTGGGGAAAAAGGCGAAACAATAAGTGTTATAGCATGTTGTAGTGCAGAAGGGATTTTCTTGCCCCCGTATTGTATTTTCAAAGGAAAAAATAGAAAAGAGGACTGGCTAGAAGGTATGCCACCGGGTTCTAAGATTAGAATGTCAGAAAAATCAGCTTACGTTCACAGCGAATTTTTTTAGAGTGGTTACGAACCCATTTTCTACCAAGGAAGCCCCCAGGTAAAACTTTATTGATATTAGATGGCCACACGTCCTATACAACCAACCTGGACCTACTAGAATTTGCAGAGCAAAATGAAATAATTTTGTTTTGTTTACCAGCCCATACAACGCACTATTTATAGCCTCTCGATCGTGCCTTTTTTAAATCTCTTAACCCTAGGTCAGTCGCGCAGGTGACAATCGTCACCCACTTTCATTTAATATGCCACTATTTAAATGTTTCAGCTCACTTGGCAACATCGCTCCGAGTATCTTTCATGTTATGATAGATGTCTGTGCCGTCAAATATTTAGTACGGCTTGTGCGTGTTTAGTGGAGATATCGCTGACCAAAGCTGAGTGGTTGACAAGTGTCCCCCGCGCGACCTTCTACGTCGTTAAATTATTATTAAGGTGTTGTTGTACTGTGGCAAAGGTAATTCAATTTTTAATATTTTTTCTCCCTATGCTAAGGTATTTTTACTTTAGGTATTTGGAAGTAGTAGCAAGGCCATGTCTGAACAGAACAAAAGAAAAGTAGAGACCAGTAATGGTCCCAATGTATGGCTGAAGTGGTACCATGAACTAAGTGATGAAAGTGATCTGAGTGAAAGCTCTAA